GACAGTAGTAAACCTAAAGCCAGGGAAGCAATTAGTAGTATCCAGGTGGTGCGGCAACAGTGGGGCCCTGCACTTGGGTGGTACAGGGGTATAAAGAGTGAGGTGACGATTTGAGAGATGTTATGGAAATAGAATGGGCAGGAACATGGTGATGGACTGGAGGTAAGGGGTAAAGAACAGCAAGATTCAAAAATGATGTAGGTTTCTAAATAGGACCACTGGAGAGCAGTTGCTGAGATGGGAGCATGAGAAGAAGGAGGACAGTGCTGGGCATGTTGAATCCAAATCAAGCTGGCAAATAAGCAGTTGAATAAAGGTTAGGAAGGGAGACATAAATGTGGGGATCATCTGGAAGGAGACTGGTAACTGAAGCCCTGAGCAGCACCAACATTTAAAAATGGGCAGAGGAGGGGTGCCTGGGTGGCTCAGTCAGTTGAACGTCTGACTTCAGCTCAGGTCATGATCTCACGGTTCGTGGGTTCAAGCCCCTGTGTCGGGTTCTGTGCTGACAGCTCAGAGCCTGGAGCCTCTTTCGGATTCTGTGTCTCCCTCTCTCTCTGCCCCTTCCCCGCTCCTGCTCTGTCTCTCTCTGTCTCAAAAATAAATAAACTATAAAAAAAATTTTTTTTAATGGGCAGAGAAGAGATAATGAGACCAAAGGAAAACCAGGTGAGTGTGATGTTATAAAAGCCAGGGCAAGAGTATTTCAGAAAGAAGATGGGGATCAACTGCAATAAAATATTTCTGAGAGGCAGTGAGAGGGATCTGAAAATTGTCCACTGGACAAATGAAGATCACTAGTGACCTTAGATCCTTTTAAGGTAGAATGATGGACAGAAAGACAAATACTAGATTATTTCACTTATATGAAGCTCCTAGAATGGTCAAAAGTAGGCTAGTGGTTCCGCGGGTTGGGGGCAGGGGAGACTGGGGAGTTAACTATTGGAGAAAGAGTTTCAGCTGGGGAATAGGTTAAGTGTTCAGCAGATAGAGGATGGTGATGGCTGTGTTGCAGGATTTTTTACTTCAATACCCTGGGTTCGTGGTCTTGCCCCTTCGAAGAATGAAGAGGTGGACACAAAATGAGCAGCAGGCAAAAGTTTATTAGAGTATAAGATCAGAAAGGAAGAATAGTATGAAAGCTCTCTTTACAGAGAGGGGACATTTGAAAGTGAATCCCATGACAATAGGCAAGGGCCTTTGTTTTATAAGGTTCTGGTCAGCACCCCCTTCCCTTCCCTCTTGTTCCTTCTCAGGTTCTACTTTTATTGGCTAGCTAAACTAAAGGCCTAGTCTTTCCTTTATGATGGGCTCATTTCCATTGTATGAGGGGTGGTCTTAGGCCATACCATCTACTACTTATTTTAAGTCAGGTCTTTTGTCAAATTCCTGAGGGAAACCTGAGAGGGAGGTAATGTCTGTTATATTCTTAAGAGGAACCTGAGGGGGTTTGCTGTGGTCAGGCACTCCCAGCATTGTTCCAAATTATGTTCTTTTCTCCACCCAGGCACCTCAGGGCCTAATCTTTCCTTTTCTGCCTACTGAATCCTATCTTTTCTTATCATAGCTGCACAGTATGAATGTACTTCTTTTAAAAGCTTTAATTTGTAAGTAATCTCTACACCCAATGTGGGGCTTGAACCCACAATCTGCAGGTCAAGAGTCTCATGTTCCACCTACTGAGCCAGCCAGGTGCTCCACAATAAGAATGGTACTTAATACCACTAACTATACATTTAAAAGTAACTAACACTGTAAATATTACCATGTTATGTGTACCTTACTACACACACATACATACACAAAAGTCACCTTCTCTGTAAGGCTTTCCAGGTCACTCCTTGTAAAATGTCAAGCCCTCCGCAGACTGGAAGAGAAACAGAATCAGGTAGAGGCGGAGGAGGGGCAGGGCGACAAAAGCGGAAGCTTCCGGCCCGCAGCTGCCAGGGGAAGGGGTTGGGAGAGGCGGGTTAAGTTGAAGCCAAGGGTGACACCTAGAGGTTATGTTAAGAACAGCAGCTGATAGTTACCCACCTGGCCCTGGAGTGGAGGGGAATGGCGGGGTGGGACCAGAGACGCGCGATTCAAGTACCCACCTTTTGAAGCTGGGAGAGAAGAGACAGAACAGGGCTAGGGTCAGGATTTTGAAGGACGAGAGTGCACCTCCGCCGGCCCCTGGGCTTAGGGTGAGACCTGCAGGAGGGGCGTGGCTCCACTGGTTTGACTCCAGAGACCTTCGCAGTCCCCACCTCCACCTCCACTGCCCTGGCCACTGTGGAAGGCAGATGTGGCAGAAGGCCTCCTGCAGCGCCATCGCCTCACCCCTTAGACCTGCGTGCACTCCAGAGCCCACCCCTAGCATCCTAATCCCCAGGAGAAAGGCAACAGCAGCCAGGTGTGGAGGATCCATTAGGTGAAAGTTCCTCAGGATGCTGTATTGGTCACAGCTCAGATGCCAACAGGGCTGCAGGAATCAGAGCCTGGCCTCGAGGGAGACCAACATCAATAACCACCTGTACACACAGACACCCCTCCCCCCCCCAAGCGGGCTTCCAAAGAGCTGAATCTGTTCCCTGGGCCAAGGTCAAGCACAGTGCCCTTGCAAGGCAATTGTGCCCTAACCAAGATCACCCTGTCTTTAAGACAGCCCCACCTGGCCTTCAGAAATCTACCCTGTCCCTCAGGAGCAGGTGGAAGTGATGGGTCAGGGGTCCTGTTTCTGCTCTCTTTGTCCACACGTAGGGCCCTTGAGTGGAATCCCCTTTGGCTGGACCAAAGGCCTGGAGTCACTAGAGCTGCTCACCGGGGGCACTGACCATGATAGTCTATTCTCTCTTGGGACCCTCACCATGATAGTGGGGGTAAAAGATAGCCTATTCTGCCCCAGCTCTAGAGCACTATTCCCAGGGACCCTTCCCCCAGAATTCACACCAAAGCCAGGGCCTTCATAGTGCCTTCCCAGTGCTCAAGCCTGGGGAGGGAGGAGTAGTCTTAATGTGGCTGTTGTTCTTGGTCCTACTGCAGCACCCTCTTCTTGTGACATGTATCCCCACCCAGACTACTTTGTTTGTCCTGACCCCACATAGCCAGGTCCAGGTTCACAGGTCAAATCCTGGATCCCTTGCCAGGCTACAGCATATACTACCAATAGCCCTATGAAGTAGGTACTATTATTATTCCCATGTTTACAGAGGAGAAAACGAAGGCTCAGAGAAGGTTAGCAACTTGCCCCAAGTCATACAGCTACTAAATATTGGAGGCAGTTTTCAAGCCCAGGTCTGTCTGCCTTTTGGAACCCATGTTCTCAAATTTACTAGTCTGCAGAGTAACACCAAGTGCCTTTTACCACCACTGATCAACTTCTGCTGCCTTACTGGCTGCAGGCCTGAATACCCCAGCCAGACCTCTTTTTCTCAGCCCTGTCCCTCCATCACATCCTTCTTCCTCTTGCCAATGAAACTCAACGGTATTGCATCAGGCTCCCTGACAATCTCCTTTGCAATGCTTTGAACCATAGCACCCATGCTAAATGTCTCCCCAATTTTATGCTCTATTGCTCCTCTGAGGGTTTGGCTTATGCTCCTCACTGATTTGACTTTTTCTCTCTTTCTCTTTCTTCTTTCTTTCTTCTTATTTTATTTTTAGGTGCCACATCCAAAGTGAGGCTCGAATTCACGACCCCAAGATCAAGAGCTACGTGCTCTGCTGACTGAGCCAGCAAGGTGCCCCTCCTCACTGACCTTTTGCTTTTGTCTTTACCCTTCTTGGAGTGCCCTTCCCAAACCCTCCAAAGAGCCACTAGCTAAAGTCAGAAGATTCCTGGTTTCCTCAATCCAGTAATCTCACACAATTCTGGGGCTCAAGGCCAGAAACACCCACAGAAAACTTCTCTGGCCCAGTACCCAATCAGAAAGCTTCAAAGAGCAAGTAGGGTTTGAGTTCTAGTCCAAACAGAGTCAGGACCTGGAGAAAGGACACCACTGCAGCTGTTTCTTTCATGTCCTGAGCCACCAGATTTTTCTCCAAAGCTTGCCTGGGACAGGGGATAAAGATTGTTGACAGAGAAGTGGGGTTGAAGAAAGAGGTGCAGTTGAGAAATTGTCAGAGAGAAACAAAAGAGATTGGTAGGAGCCATATAAATGGCCAATCTTCGAATAACATCAGTTTCTCCGGACCCATTTGGGAAGGGTAAGAAAATCTGTAACTTAAAACATTTAATATATTTTTTAAAGTTTTAAAGGTACAACAGGGCTTAAAGGCAAAGTTTTCTAGGACTCTTTTTTGTTTGCTTAATGTGAGGCTTAAACTCACTACCCTAAGATCAAGACTTGGATGCTTTGCCGACTGAGACACCCAGGAGTCCCCTCTAGAATTTTTAAGCTAAAATTGGTAGAAATGACACTGGTAAGAAGTTCAGGGCTTCGGGAGAGGGTGGGGGTGGTAAGGGGACGGGGAAGGATTCTGGCTTCTCCCCCAGCGAGGGCTTGTTCCCTTTGCTCTAAGTTTGAAGGATGAGAGCGAGCCCAGCGTCCTCCACCGAATGAAGGCAGCTATTGTGATCTTCGGGGGCGGAGAAGGGAGGCTCAGTGCCAACGGGTGTGGCTCAGCCAGAGGCTCTGGGAAAGGGCAGCCCCTTGTCCCCACAGTACCCTCGGGCGACAGCGTCTGGGCGGGAGGAGTAAGTGTGCGGAGTTCCGGGCTCCGCCCCCTCTCTCCTGCTCCGCCCCAGCTCTGGCTCCACGTGGTTTTCACCAGCGCAGCGCAGACCCGGTGGTCCCAAAGCAGCTCGGGATTGCGGAGGGCGTGGCAGGGAGAGCCGCGAGCCCCCAAGGGGGTCGAGTCTGTGACTTCTCCCCGGAAAAGAGCGAGGAAAAGGCTCTGCGGGAAAAACTGGATTCCACAGTCTTCCGACGACAAGCCTGGGACAGACAGTTCCGGAGTTCTCAAGGACAGGTGAACGGCCCCAGGGGAAGGACAGGCCAGGGTCACCATCTGGACCGCCATGGCCGCGTCCGCCCGTGGTCTGTGCCATGTCGCTTTCCACGTGCCCGCGGGGCAGCCCCTTGCCCGAGATCTGCAGCGTCTCTTCGGCTTCCAGCCCCTGGCGGTGCGGGAAGCAGACGGCTGGCGGCAGTTAGCTCTGAGCAGCGGCGACGCGGTCTTTTTGGTGAACGAGGGCGCTGGGCCCCAGGAGCCGCTGTACGGCCTGGACCCACGTCATGCCGTGCCCAGCGCCACCAACCTGTGCTTCGACGTGGCGGACACGGGCGCCGCCGCCCAGGCATTGGTCACGCGGGGCTGCAGCGTGCCGGTGCCCCCTGTTAGCGTGCGGGATTCTCAGGGCACCGCCACCTATGCCGTGGTCAGATCGCCCGTCGGCAACCTCAGCCTGACCTTGCTGGAGCGCGCCGGCTTCGGGGGGCCTTTCCTGCCGGGCTTCAGGCCTGTGCCCTCTACAACCCGGCCAGGCTGGGTCAGCCACGTGGACCACCTGACCCTGGCCTGCACCTGTGGCAGCTCGCCCACACTGGTGCGCTGGTTCCGCGACTGTCTAGACTTTCGCCACCTGCCACTGAGCCCAGGTGAGGATCCAGAGCTGGGCCTCAAGGTGACAGCAGGATCCGGGCGAGGGGGACTGAAGCTTACCGCCCTGCAGCCCCCGCCAGGCGGCGCTGCCCCCGCCCTTGTGCTGGCCGAGTCCCTGCCAGGGGCTGCCAGTGGACAGGACCAGGTGGAGCAGTTCCTGGCCCGGCACAGGGGACCCGGACTGCAGCACGTGGGGCTGTACACGCCGAACATAATGGAAGCCACTGAGGGGGTAGCAGTGGCAGGCGGCCAGCTCCTGGCTCCTCCTGAGGGGTACTACCAGCAGCCAGGCAAGGAAAGGCAAATCCTAGCCGCTGGGCACCAGCCTAGCCTGCTGGCCCGACAGAGGATCCTGCTAGATGGCGATGAAGGCAAGTTTCTGCTTCAGGTCTTCACCAAGTCTCTATTTCCAGAGGACACTTTCTTCCTGGAGCTGATTCAGAGGCAGGGGGCAACAGGCTTTGGCCAGGGCAACATCCGGGCTCTGTGGCAGTCGGTACAGGAGGAGCAAGCCTCCAGGCACCAAGAATCCTAAGGAAGGTTGGTGCTGGGTTCACCATCCTGTCCTGGAGCACAGGGCCTGTTGCAACTGAGTAACACCCGTGGAGGCTTGGAGTGGAGAGGGCTTTGTCCCCAGGGGCCAGTACCTGCCAGAACTTGAATCTCTCACTGGGATCCAAAGAGGTTGGATTTTATTTTTTCTTTGAAACTATCAAATTGTTTTTACATAGTCTAAAACTAATATATATGCAAAATATGAAGAATAATAAAGGTATTACGTAACTAGGTAATAGAATATATATATATCAATACTTTTGAACCTTCCTTATGACCTTCTCTGATCCATTTCCTTTCACCCTACCCCTAATTTTATGATTCTTAACCTCCTGATTTTCTATGTTTCACTACAATAGAATACAATTGTACAAACAATACAAACATAAATTTAGTATTTGAGGTAGGAATTTAAGACCAAACAAATCCTCCCCTGTGTTTCCCTGCTCCCCAGAGAGCAGCCTCTGCAGGGGGGGAGGGGTTGGGTCAGGGCTGAGCCCAACCACCTGCTCTAAGACAATACCACTACTCCAGTCAGAGCTGACCAGAGACCAGAGCCAAGGATGCTGGGTGTCAGCCCCCTGGCAGAGGCCCCCTGAAGCTGCCTTCTCCCTCTCTCCTGGGGGCTGGGGGAGGACAGATCACTCGGACAGAATGCCCGCCTGCACTGCCCAGGGCTGGCTGGGAGCTCAGCACCAAGCAGGACTTTTCAGAGAGGAAGAATGAGAGGACTAGGAAGAGGACGGAAAGTCTCCAAAATGACTACAAAAATAAGCACTTTATTAAACAACAGGATTCTCAGGAAGTGGGGGCTTCTGGGAGTGTCACTGGGCCATACTGTTGAGGCTGGATGCATCAGTGGGGATGTGGGGCCGAAAGAAACTATCCAGGACTTGCTGGCCTGGGCTGGGCTTTCTCCGCGTGGATGGAGTGGACACCTGGGATCTTTTGGAACCCTGTGCAGAAGCCAAAGGAAGAAGGCACTAAGGGGGCAGCAGAGTCCTCCTTCCACCCCTCTCACCGCTGCAGTGATAGAGCTCAGATTCTAACCTGAATTCTGTAAAGCTTCCAAACTCTGCTGTCAACTCTACATGGCAGCCCAAGGTAATCTTTTTCTAAGATACACACCTCACTCCTCTCTCCACCAAAAATGCCTCAGTGGCCTGGTGTTCATGGCCCTGACTGGCCTGCACAGGGCCTGCTATGCTTACAGCTCCTTGCGCGCTGCAAACTGCACTGTGGCACCTTTGCTCACGCTACTCTTGAGCCTGGAAAGTACATTCTTACTGCTGATTCCCCTCCCAGACCTGGAGAAAATGGTTCATTTTTTGAATCCAAATTACCAGCTGCATCTTCTAAGCAGCTTTTCCGGATTCTTGCCTCCCAGCTGGAACCGAAAGCTCTCCACCTTATAAACCACAAAGTCCGGTACAAGCATTTCACACACCTGTGACCCTATTGTCTCCAACATTTGTTCTTATTCCGTCTCCACCCTGGACCCCAGACTGTAAGGTCTCAAGATAAGAACTGTTCCTCTCCCTATGGTGAAGCCTGGCCTGGATAATGTTCATCCAAACATGTCATTTAACTCATTGAAAACCTGTGGATTCGGGCCTGGGAGAGATGCCTGAGTGAGGGCCAAGAGACTCACCTTGCCGGTCCCTGGCTGTTGGCCCTCATAAACACGGAACACCTAGCCAAGGACAGAGGGGGAGAGTACAGGACTGGCATCTTCCCCCAAAAGAGCCAGACCCCTATGTTCTCTCAATTTCACAGCCCAGTACATCTGTTTAAAATACGGTTTTTCAGGGCACCTGGGTGGCTCAGTCGGTTAAGTATCCGACTTCAGCTCAGGTCATGATCCCATTGCATTCAAGACCCACGTCGGGCTCTGTGCTGACAGCCAGCTCAGAGCCTGGAGCCTGCTTCAGATTCTGTATCTCCCTCTTTCTCTGACCCTCCCCTGCTCACACTGTCTCTCTCTCTCAGAAATAAATAAAACATTAAAAAATAATAATAAAAAATAAAATATGGTTTTTCTGTTTACATAATAATAGGTTCACGTAGAACATATAGGAAGCACAAAAAAGCACACAAAGACAGCACAGGTCGTGCCTTTTTCATGGCGGTGGAGACAGCTGCCGTGTGAAACTCCTCCCGGGTCAGCCAGCGGGCGCCAGGTGGTGTGATGGTCACCGGGGTCTGCCCTTCCAGGGCCAAACCGTATACTTGATATGTCAGCTTGATGTGAGAGAAGGTGTGGACTACCTGGAGGGAGGGTCAAGGGACTGAAACAGGCCTGTGGATATGTCCACAAAACCATCTCTCCTCATCCTTCCACTGGTCACTCACCTGCCCAACGTGCTGGAGGTGGGTGGCTGGGAGGGGCCCGGCCCAACTCTGCAGTTCCTGCAGCAGGGCCTCGCGTTGACATTGCCCTGAGGGCTCTGCAGCCACAGACGGAAACTCCCACAATCCAGCCAGCAGACCTGAAAGGAAGGACGGCCAGGTGTGGCTGGGCCTTAGCTGCTGGCTCCTCCATTTCTCCGGTGTTGCTCATGCCACTGCCCTCCACTCCCAGGATCCAGGTACCTGACTTAGGCCTCTGCACCAGCAGAATTCGAGCACCCCCAAGGGCCCTGGGCTGCTCCAGAACACAGATGGCAGAGCACTCCTCCCTGGGGGGCCTCCGACTGGCCTTTCTGGGAAAGTTGGTGACTCCCAGGGTCTGGTCCCAGGGCTCCGTGGGAGGTGAGCACAGCTGGCACTGTTCAGTGCTGGGAGCTGGGAAGAGAGATACCTAAGCCCCACTCAGGCTTAGGTGAACTTAGATGCCAACCCCAGAGAGCAGGTCGTGGCCCAGCTCTGCAGAATCTTATTCAAACTGTACGAGGATAAACTAGAATGAGGCTTCCGCAAGCAGCTCCTTGGCAGTGCAGTGAAGGGCTGGGGCTGGTACTTACCACACTCCTCCACATCAGGACTGCATGGCAGGCTCTGTGAGGCTAAGAGTTGTTCCCGCTCCACCTAAGAGGCATAAAGCAAGGTGTCATATGGCAGGGGTCACCCTCTAGGACCCCTGCCTGCCCTTCCCCAGATGGCTCACCCTCTGGTGTGCCCGGCACATGCTCTGGACAGGGCACTGGCTGCACCGTGGGTGCTGTGGGGTACACACTGTGGCCCCCAGCTCCATGGCTGCTTGGTTAAAATCCCCTGGCCGGGCTGGGTCTACCAGCTGCTGGGCTAAGCTCCTACAAGGAAACATTGCTGTGAGCCAAAGACACTTTGGAGATACCCTTCCCAGTCTCCCGTTACCCCAATATCTTACCAGAGCTGCTGGGAGACAAAGGTGCTTCCAGGATCAGCACCAATGGCTCGGACACGACACAGCACCCGTACTACATTCCCATCTACCACACCGGTTGCCTGGCACAGAGGAATCCAGGAATCAGCCTGGTCTAGGAGGAAGGAGGGTGGGCACATACAAAGTAGGGGTGGGCTATGGACTCACCTGGCCAAAGGCAATGGAGGCAATGGCCCCAGCTGTGTACCGCCCCACGCCAGGCAGAAGCTTCTGCAGAGTCTCTGCTGTATGTGGCACATGGCCCCCTAGCTCCTTTACCACCTGGTTGGGGTGGGAGGCTCAAGGTTATGAGCCACCTGAGGCCCTGGGGCTCACCCTCCCTGTTTCCCCCTTACCTTCTGGGCTCCCTCCTGCAGCCGCCGGCCTCGAGAGTAGTAGCCCAGGCCAGCCCAGAGCTGGTTTACCTCCTGTGGGTAGAGTCAGAGAGATCAGTGGTCAGTCCTCAGTTGTACCCATTTCCCCTACCCTAGGGTGGCACTCACCTCCAGGGACGCACTAGCCAGGTCCTGCAGCGTTGGCCACTTCTAGAGCCCGAAGGTGATCAAAAGGAAGGAAGGTCAAGGGTGAGGGAGGTGAAGGGAGCCTTCTTTACCCCCACCCCAAAGGCTAGGCTCTTTCTGGAGTCTGGCTCAATGACCCTCCCCTTCTTTCCCTGAAGTCACCTGCATCCATCGGGTATAATAGTCGATCACCGTGGCAACCTGGGTCTGCTGCAGCATGACCTCTGAGACCCACACTGGGGGAGAGGGGTTGGCATGAGGGCACTGCTGAGCTGCCCTGCTCCCAGCCCACGACCCCTACAACCCAGACCAGTGGGCATCCAGGCAAAGCAGCCCTGCTCTCAGGAGATGCACTCACCAGCGTATGCCCGCCTGTCCGGGTCCACTTCACCCTCTGCCTGCCAATGCAATCCCAGACAAGGAGTTAGTGTGGAGGGGGCCTGGCAGCAGCCCCCCACCCCACTGTCTCTGCCCCTCGCCTGCTTACCCGCCTTCTCCAGGGCAGGTCCCGTTTTTCTCGGTCGTACCAGCTCAGAAGGTTCTCCCGAAAGACTGTGACCTCAGCTATGTCTCTGAATAGGTGGTATGGGGAGACAGAGGCCTGCAATACCACCTCCTTGTGTCGTCTGGCCAAGCCTGCAGGGGCCTCAGAAAATTTAGACATAGTCCCTGCAAGAGCTGTGCATCAGGTACCTGGGACACTGTATTCAGCACTGCCCCCTTAGGGCTTCCCAAAACCCCTTGCTTAAGCTTTGAACCCGGAGTCAGACCAAAATTCTCTAGATGTGTGTAACCTTAACCAAATTTCTAGCCTTAACTTTCCTAGCGTGGTACTGCTGGCTCCTTTGTCTCTGGGTCATGATGAAAATCCAACAATTTCAGCCAAGCATAATATATACCTGTTCAGGACTTTCCCATTTACAAAACACTTTCAGGCTCATAAACTCATTCGATCCCATGAAAGCCACATGAGGAAGGAAATGCACAGGCTACCACTCCATGTCACTGGTAAGAAAGTAGCCACTCAGAGCAATCATCCCAAAGTTGCACAGCAAAGTCAGAATTAGATCATAACTAGCCCCTTAAAGCCTTGATGCACAACCATGCTGCCTTCCCAGCTTGAATCGACCTCCTTCTCATGGCCAATGAAACCAACCCCTTAAACTTGACTCAGACCAAGCTCCTCACCATCACGGGTAGAAGGCTTGACCTGGCTGCTGCTAAGGACCTGCTTCTCCCTTCCCTCCTGGCTGGATGCCTGCTTTCTGCGACAACTCCTCACAGCGGTTTGTGGCTTCTTCATGATGGCCTAGAAGAGAAAGCCCAAAGTAGTCTGTCACAATGAGGCTGAATCTTGGGGCACTCCAGTGAGTACAGCCACCTTCTCTATAGCACTCATTATAGAGTGCCTAGCTTTTCTTACTCTCCAGATGCTCATGGCTTTGCTCTTGGCTGGCTGTGGCACTGAGGTATGACCAGTAGGGCTGAGTTTCTGCAAGTGACTTCAGAGGGACCAACATTAGCATAGTCCTGGAGACACACACAAAAGAAGAGGCTGGGGCTGGGCTGGGTCCTGTGCAGGAGGACCTCTGTGTCCCTGATGTTTACTGTGACTGTATGTGTGGACAGGGCTTCTTCTTCTTCTTCTTCTTTTTTTTTTTTTAAATGTTTTATTTATTTCTGAGAGAGAGAGCAGGGGAGGACCAGAGAGAGAGGGAGACACAGAATCCGAAACAGGCTCCAGGCTCTGAGCTGGCTGTCAGCACAGAGCCTTATGCGGAGCTCGAACCCGCAAACCATGAGATCATGACCTGAACTGAAGTTGGACGCTTAACCAACTGAGCCACCCAGGCACCCCTGGGCAGGGCTTCTTTAGGTGTGTCTAAGAGCATGAGGCAGGTAGGATGTTTATCTGCTTAGAGATGTGGCACATTTACATCAAAACAGGCTTTAGCAGTCATGCAGTCCAACCCCCATTCTGCAGAAAGGAGAAACCAAGGATCAGAGATGGTTAAGATATTTTTTTAATGTTTATTTTATTTGAAAGAGAGAGAGAGAGACAGAGACAGAGAGAGAGGGAGACACAGAATCCAAAGCAGTTGTCAGCAGAGTCCGACCCAAGGGCTAGAACCCACGAACTGCTAGATCATGACCTGAGCAGAAGGTGAATGCTTAACTGACTAAGCCACCCAGGTGTACCAGGGATGGTAAAAGATTTGCCTGAGAGCAGATGGCAAGTTGGGGTGGTAGAAGGGGATGAGCTAGTTTTTATTCCTAATCTTTTCCTGGTCTAGTAAATCATAGCTGGCTGGCAATTGGTAATGAGAAACAGATCTCAATTTCAATGAGAAATTGATATTCACTGCTCCCTGTTCTTTTGGTGCCCATTTCTCTATATAACCAACAGTTAGTGGAGGTATACTATATGCCAGACCTTATGCTAAGTATTTTACCGATTTCTTGCACAATCTCCAGACGACTCCATTAGGTACATTCTAGTATTACCTCCATTTTAGTGATGAGGAAACTGAGGCTTGTAGAGATTAGGCAACTTGTCCACCCAAACCCAAAAGGTCTGCTTCCAGGGACTGCACTCTGGTGCTGTGCTGTACTGCAGTACCTGAAGAGCTCCTGCTTCAAACTCTCTCCTTAAAACCTGACTTTATCACCTCATCTTCATCAAAAGAGCTTGCTTCCTCCTTCAGAGAAAAAAATGAATGTACAGATTTACTACACTCTGCACTCATCTGCATTCTCCTTTTCCTTCCCCCCTTTAAAGAATGGTCTCTTCTAAATTGTCCAAGCTCAGGGCACTGCTCCTCAACCCCTTTTACAACAGCCACTCCTCCCCTTCATAGCCAAACTTCCTTTACCAAACTCACCAACTCCGTAATTCATTCTACAATCCATTCTCCAGAGTACAGCAGTCTCATAAGACATGATCATGTCACTTTCTTACTTAAAACCTTCAATGGCTTCCCACTAATTCACTGAATAAATATTTATGTAGTACCTACTCTGTGCCAAGCAGTTTTAAGTACTTGGAATACTTCAGTAATTAAAACACCAAAGGTTCCTGTCCTCATGAAACCTGTATTCTAATGGAGAGCAAAATAATAATAATAATAATAATAATAATAATACACATAAGTAAATTATATAGGATGTCAGGTGGTAAATACTAGCATAAAGAGAAAAGGAATAGGTGAAGGGATAAGGAGTGGTGGTGGTGGAATGTTGCAATTTTAAAGTGCATGGTCAAGGTGGGCCTTATTAAAGTAGTATTTGACCAATGATTTATGGCAGTTGAAGGAGTTAGCCATGTGGATACCTGTGGGAAAGGCATCCTAAATAAGAGCTAGTGGAATGGCCTTAAGGAAGGTGCCTGTTTGCAGAATAATAAGGAAGCCAGTGTGGTTAAAATGGCCTGAAGAAGGATGAGTAGTAGATGAGGTCAAAGAGGTAAAGAAGGTGGGGAGCATAAAATCACTAAGTACCTTGTAAGCCACTGAAGCACTTTGTCACACTTCTTGCTGTGAGAAACCAATCCTCTTAAAATAGTTCTGTAAACTCCAAAGATCCCCACCTGCCTCATCCCCTCACTATGTTCTAGCCATTTATTTGCCTAAATATTGCTTCAATAATTCAGGTGTCTGTCCAGCTCACCCAATCCTTTCCCTCTACTTGGACAGGTCTTATCCTGTGCTTCTCACTCATTCTTTCAGGTCTTGACTTAAATTTCCAAATCAGCTCCCCAGTCTTACCCTCTTGTGTAATTCTCCATTTTTCCTCTTATATTAATTGTAATTTTTCATTCGTGTTTGTTTGATGACGGTCTGCTTCCCCTACTTGGCTATAAAACTCCACGAGCAAGGACTGAATCTCTTGTTGACTGTTGAGTCCCCAGAGCTTAGCACCATGCTAAGTAAACTGTATACGATAAACACTTAATTAACGGGATGGGAGAAATCCAAACAATTCTGAATAATGATGAAAAAGAACTGAGAGAGAAAGGCTGAAGATGAACTAGAAACAGTGATTAACTAAGGAGAAAGGATTGACTCCTTGGTGGGTCCAGATGGGAACCGGAGCCTTTGAGAAAGAACATGTCTCTCGTGGTATCAGGAGTCAAATCCAATCACTCTCTAAGTCAAATATACCTCCTAAGTGCTTACAAGTTGTCCCTTCCTTGTCGTCCCTGCTGCCAGGGCCTTAATTCAAGCCCTTATTATCGCTTCCCTATGTTATTTCAAAGGCTTCCCAGCCAGTCGGTGGCTCTAACTCCTCTCGCAGCCTCGCCCCGCGGCCCCCTCCCCGCCTTTTCACTTCCTAGACGTGAAGTTCCCATTCCTCCCTAGGAACTTGCCTATTCCCAAAATATCCTTCTTTCCCCCACACTCCTCTCTGTATAACTCCTGGGCGGACTTTAGGCTGCATCCGGGTAGCCATACCTCCTCCGGGGCCCCGCCACCCCCAACCCGGGGCCGAGCGGATGAAGACAGCATAAAGCAGCCGCCCACGTTCCCGCAAGACGTACGCGGGAAAGGAATTACCTCCCGCGCAATCTTCAGCGCCCGACTTCCCACGCACGCCGGAGGGCGTGGCTCCGACCCGCGCCGCGCCAGTCAAAGAAGTCCTAGCGCGCGCCGGGACACCGCCTTCGCGCCAGACCCGGGTGGTGTAAACGGAAGTCAGACCCGTCTGCGACTCCGGGGGGCCAGGCCCCGCCCCGATCCCTTCAGCGGGAGCTGAGCGGAGAAAAGCGGAAGCCCCGCGTACCCACACACTGCTCAGGCGAGCGACCCTCCGTGTCATGGCCGCCGACAGTGACGATGGCACAGTCTCAGCCCCAGCGGCCCCTGATGGTGAGTGGCTTCCCAGGGCTCCCACCTTAAAACTCTGCGCTCCGGGAAGGGGAAGGCCTCGGGCTCACGGCTCTAGAAACCGACTTAACGTTCAGAGGACTAGCTCCTTCCCGCTGAACCAGCCACGAGGAGACTACAAGTCCCGGTGTGCACCGCAGCTCGGCTGCAAAAGCCTGGCGTGTTGGGAGCATAGCCGGGGGCCATAGGGGCATGTCGGGAGAGTAGTCTAAAGCTCATAGTTAAGTGCAGTGGATTGGGAGTCGAGGTCCAAAGAAGTCGGAAGTATTGGGAGCTTGGGTGTGAGGAATTATTTATGAGGCTCCGGGGCATAGTGGCTACCACCACTTTTGGCTACTGGGGCACCGTGGAAACAGTACTATCATGGAGCCTTGTGGGACATTAAAGGAGTCGCACTCCTCAAGCCCTGCAAAATATTTCCTGCAGGATGCCGTGAAAAGATCGTGTAGTGATGCGGATTATGTGATGCTGATGGGAGAAGTAGTTTTCCCAAAAGCTCACATAAACCACTGGAAGATGCAGGCTTTCTCTCCGCAAATTGAGGGAGGGCACTGTGCACTCCAAGGCCTGTGTGCAAAGCATGTGTGATACAAAGGCTTTGAGGAGAAAGCTGCCATTTGCCTTAATGGAAACTGCCCCCCAACATTCCGCCCCCAGCCATGGCCTACCTTGGTATCAGTTTCCCTGGACTCCTGCCTGAGCATCAACATCCATCCCTCTCCTTACCCTCAGGTGGTGTCAGCAAAATCACAAAGTCTGGGGAGGAGCTAGTAGTCCAGGTTCCCGTGGTGGATGTGCAAAGTGACAACTTCAAGGAGATGTGGCCATCCCTCCTACTGGCCATAAAGACAGCTAGCTTCGTGGCTGTGGACACGGTGAGGGTTGGGGAATGGGGAGGACAGGTAATTTTGAAAGGGCTGGTTGGTGCTGGAAACCTAACACAACTCTCCCTTTACCTACTCATAGGAACTGAGTGGGCTTGGGGACAGGAAGAGTTTGCTGAACCAGTAAGTATAAGCCCTGATCTTATTGCCAGCCTTGGCAGGAGGGGAAGACCTCATCCCTGGAGTAGAAATCACAGTCCTGGGTGGTTTGAGGGCTAGCTTCCAGCCACAGCCACCCCCTAAACCCAACCCCAAGGTGCATCGAGGAACGTTACAAGTCCGTGTGTCATGCTGCCAGGACCCGTTCTATTCTCTCCCTGGGCCTCGCCTGCTTCAAGCAGCAGCCAGATAAGGTATGGGCTGATCTCACATCTATCCCTGGTCTTTGGCTGCCAGGGAGGAGGGTTGAGATCCTGGGAACATCAGATATGAGGTGTTTATCCGAAATCCTGATATAGCAGATCCTTTCTCTCCCAGGGTGAACACTCATACCTGGCTCAGGTGTTTAATCTGACCCTGCTCTGCATGGAAGAGTATGTGATAGAACCAAAGTCTGTACAGTTCTTGGTACAGCATGGCTTCAACTTCAACCGGCAGTATGCACAGGGTATCCCTTACCACAAGGGTAATGACAAGGTAGGTCTCCGGCCTTGAGACTGCCCCTTCTGTGGCTTCATTTCTTCCTAACCTAGGCTGGGTACATAGGGAGGGTCTGCTTCTTAAGGAGTATGGGAAATCACTAGGGACAGGACTGGGGAAACAAGCTTGATACATAGGAGAATAGCATTGGGTAAGGCAGGGATGGGGAGCTTTCCAGGTAGGGGAGCCAGGGATAAGTGTCCTGCAAAAGAGGCTCCTGGGGGACTGTTCTTCCTGATGACCTTTCTTTCTTTCTACCCAGGGTGATGAGAGTCAGAGCCAGTCAGTGAGGACACTGTTCCTGGAGCTAATCCGGGCCCGCCGGCCCCTGGTACTACACAATGGTCTCATAGACTTGGTGTTCTTGTACCAGAACTTCTATGCCCACCTTCCTGAGAGCTTGGGAACCTTCACTGCGGACCTGTGTGAAATGTTCCCAGCCGGCATTTATGACACCAAATATGCTGCTGAGTTTCATGCCCGCTTCGTGGCCTCCTACCTAGAATATGCTTTCCGGAAATGGTGAGGAACTGGTTGAGGTTTAGGGATGGGGCCTGGTATAAGCCTGACTATTTCGTTTACTTAAGGTATTTATTGAGTGCCTACCAGGTGCAAGGCACTGTTTTAGGTGCTGAGGATTCAGCAGTGAGCAAAACAGACAAAAAAAACCCTATTCCCATGGAGTTTATACGCTAGTGGACCAATACCCTCTTGCGCTGTTGCAGTGAGCGGGAAAATGGGAAGCAGCGGGCAGCTGGCAGCCCACACCTTACCCTGGAGTTCTGCAGCTATCCTACTAGCATGAGGGCCCATATTGACTACCGCTGCTGCATGCCCCCTGCAACCCACCGTCCTTATTCCACCAGCATCTGTGACAACTTTTCGGTGAGAGCACCCACCCGTTTCCTGGGAGAGGGGAGGTTCTGATGTGGAATCCCTGTCTAAGCCTCTTTCCTATCTCTAGGCCTATGGCTGGTGCCCCCTGGGACCACAGTGTCCTCGGTCCCACGATATTGACCTTATCATTGACACTGATGAGGCTGTGGTGGAGGACAAGCGGCGACGGCGGCGACGCAGGGAAAAACGGCGGAGGGCTTTGTCGGGACTGCCTGGGAAACAGACCTCTGAGGAAAATGAGGGCGGCCCTCCCATGAAGCAGGTCTGTGGGGATGCCCTCAAGGCTGAGGAAATTGAGCAGGAAGTGGCCGAGGATGAGACTAAGAGGCAGCCTGGCTTGGAGCAAGGTCACAAAAATGACTTGGAGATGGGACTCAAAGCACCAGGGCTGGAAACAGCTGATGTGGTTACCTCAGAAGCACCAGGAGGTCAAGCTAGTCCTCACCCAGTGGCTGGGGATGGGTTGCATCGGGCTGGTTTTGATGCTTTTATGACAGGTTATGTAATGGCCTATGTGGGAGTGAGCCAAGGACCCCAGATCTGTAGCTCTGGGCCCTGGCTGCCTGAATGCCACAACAAGGTATACCTGAGTGGCAAAGCTGTACCCCTCACGGTGGCCAAGAGCCAGTTCTCCCGTTCCTCCAAAGCCCACAACCAGAAAATGAAGCTAGCTTGGGGCAGCAGCTGACACAACTGCTGCCTAGTGCTCAGGGCCCAGGTCGAGAACTGAGAGTGGAATGCAAGTGTCTGGGTCCCTCTAGCCTGTGACTGTCCTACTTCCAACTTCTACAGAGTTGTGGGGGAGGGGGTCTTGGCAGAGATACTGCTGCATCAGTCCTGGAACCTTCTTTACCCCAGAGGCTGAAGAACAAGGGTACACATAAGAAGGCTGACCAGCACCTGTAACACCGACTTTATTTATTTTTAAATCTGAAAGTGTCTTGGGAAAAAATATTACCAAAAAATCAACAGAAACAAGTTATGAAAATATTTGACCAGCTTCATCTTTGGTTATTTTTTATCACGGCTCTTTAAGGACTTGACTGTTCCCATAGCTCCAGCCATAGCAGGAAGGGAAGAAAATCAGTCCATGTATAAACCATTTAACCAACTGGGTGTATCACATGTTGACAAATACATAGAGCAGGCCCTGGGGCCTACAAAGCCAGCCCCACTCCCAACCACAAGGTTGAAAGTTTTATGGGGCAGAACATTAAGACTCCTTCATAAATATGAAAATAGATTAATCAACTGGAAAAGATCTTTGAATAGGTTAGCTAAGAGCCATGACCACCACGCTGCCTCACCCTCCCCTTGCATAGAAATGTAGTGATGTGGTCTGACTGTGCAGTAAGTGCAAACAGCAATTTTTCAAGTGTCTTAGACGTACTGGCAAGAAGCTTCCCAGTCTTCAGGTCTGAGAAATAGCCATGCTGTTTATGGCTTCCTGGTCAGCTCCAAGTTCCATCCAGTAGCTTATATGCCCAGGAAAGGGCAAAAGACAGACCTGGAGTGGGAGAAGAACCTGGGGTAATAGTTGCCTGCCAGCTCAAACTAGAACTAGGGGAGTCCTCTGGTCCTGTCTGGGGAAGTACATTGGGAGTCGGGTGGGAGCCAGACCTCCTTGCTGGATTTTCAGAAGCTTGATATCAGCTGTTGGCCCAAAGTAGGAAGGCCTTTCACTGCTCTCTCCCCTCTCATGCACAGCAATTAGGCACTTGGAGCCCCCAGATTGAGCTTGGCTTGGCCGAGCCAGCCTGCTCTGTAGGCCACAGGGAAGAGTCAAGGCTATGCACAAGGGGGCCCAGTGGCATCAACTGAAGGTTCACCCCCAAGGTGAGGTGGGACTAACCCCCTCACCCATCCTGTTCTCCCCGGGTTTTCAGGCCTCCTATGCCTGAGACAGAAAAAGGGACTGGAGCCAAGCCTCGTGGCCTTTCTTCTTCTACCTCCATCTCCTCAGAGACACCTGCAAGGCATGGACTGGCCCCCTGGGACCTGGGCCCAAAACCATTTTCTTCCTGAGGACTGGAGCAGTCCATGGCTTCATGGGCCGGAACAGGTGGTAGGGCAGATGCTCGGAATGGCGGGATCTCTCTCACTCTGTACTTGAGACTACTGAGGCGTGGTGGGGGCCCATCAGATAGTGATTCTTCTCGGCCCACAAACGGACAGGCTTGATGCAAGAACTCTGGTGAACCAGGCAAAGAACGCCACCGGCGAGCAGGTGGTGCCAAGGGCTCCTGCCAATCAGCCAGAGGCAGAGTTCCAGGCCCTGGTGCATCCAGGTCAAATACCAGGGAGATGACAGACTTGCTGGGCAGGTCAAAGAACTTGATCTTGCCTCCCTTGAGGTCCTGGCGAGCACTGAAAGGGTTGATTTTGGGGGTGCGGACAGCACCA